AACGGCCAATGTGCTTTCAGAGTTCAGAAACTGAAAACATCACTCTCAATTATTATTATTTTTTGTTTCTTTCTCTTTATAAACAAATTAAATACGAATATTTTATAGTATTTCCAATTATCTTTTCGGGAAACCAAGCAGGACACATAGACACAGTAACCCAGAGATCCACCTCTCTCTCTCTCAGCCTCAGTCTCACTTGTCTTGTTGTTAATAATTGTCCTGAATTTCTGTTTCCTCTGAAGGGTACCTTGTCGGAAGATAGGAGGGATAAGATTCACAGTAAACGGATTCAGATACTTCAATCTTGTTCTGGTAACTAACGTTGCCGGCGCCGGAGATATTAACGGAGTTAGCGTAAAGGGATCAAAGACAGATTGGGTGAGGATGAGTAGGAACTGGGGACAGAACTGGCAGTCCAACGCCGTCCTCATCGGCCAATCACTCTCTTTCCGAGTCACCGCCTCTGATCGACGTTCCTCCACCTCATGGAACGTTGCTCCTTCCACGTGGCAGTTTGGTCAGACTTTCTCCGGCAAAAACTTCCGAGTCTGAAGTCCGAAAACACCCAACAGATCAATACTCAGATGTTATTTTTATTTTATTTTTAATATGAGAGACAAAAACAAGAAGAGAGATGGGACATTTTCCAGCCCTGGGTTTTCTCTTTAATTTTCTTAGGAAAATTCCGGTGGCTTGTGGAATATGTTTCCTTTTTTAGTATTATTATCAGCAAAATTTATTTTTTATGTTTGCGATTTAATGGTGATTTGTTTTCTCTTTTCTTTTCTTGATCCTCAGAATAAAAGTGCTGCTAGTATTAGCCAGAGAGTGATTTGTTTTTCTTTTGGTTATGTTTCCTTTAGTTATTTCGTTGGTGGCATCTTCTTTCTGCTAATAAGCCAAAGAGTGGGGAACAGTCTTATGATCGAGTCGGATGGACCGTGTAATAGGCCATTGGGCCAATATATATATAAAATCTGAAATTATAGATTGCAATTTTTTGGAAACTTGATTTCACAAAAACATTTGATTGTAGGCAAATGGTTAATGAAAAAGTTTAAAAGTTCTAGTAAGTGTTGGACTATCTAAGAAAATAGACGAATTTAAACGGATATGCGAGTTTGTGAGGTTATGGAGGAGTCATTACTTTTTATTGCATTTCTGTGTGTGTGTGATTGTGCGTGTGATTTCTTTAGTACATGTCCTGATGTAGGTGGATGTTATGCTTTATCTTATCGTTTTTGAGGTTGTAGCCAATTATATAAACTATAAACTGTCTGAATTTTAAGGATCTTATCATATGGTTGCAAAGTTTTAAAAACTTGATAAGAACGATAGATATAAACTGAATGCATAAAGAAATGACATTTGTTGATGAAGATGATGGGCATTGAGCGAAAATCCATATGTGGTTCTTAGCTTATAAGCTAAAATCGAATGTGCTGTTCTGAATTTCTAAGGATCTTATCATATGGATTGCAAAGTTGACAAGTGCCATAGATATAAATAGATTGCATCAAGAGATGGCATATATAGATGAAACAGAAACATCGCAATGGTAGGGGCACTATATTCAAACATGGATGAATCATTTAAAGAAATTGATCGTGCCGCCTTGTGAGCTTGGTTAGCTTGATTTGAAATTTC